GGTCTTAATTTATCATGTGTATAGAGAAAGTAATGTAGCTGTTGATTACTTGCGATCAAGGAACATAGATACCCTTTTGGATCACATTCTTTTGATGTTAGTGACGTGTATCTCTGTCACTGGACTACTTTTGATGTTCTGGGTATCACCCAAGCTCGTTTTATTATTAATATGATTTAGGTCACTTGTTGCCCGGCTTCCTACAAATAAAAAATAAAAAATGGGAGAAATCAAAATGGTTTTATGAACAAATTTGGGTAAATTGCAATATTGGTCATTGAGATGACTAAAAATTTCATGTTTAGTCACTAAAAATATTTAATTCCATTCGTGATCACTAAAATTAGTTAAAGGTTTCAAGTTTGATCACTTTTCATCCAATTCCATTAACTTTGTCTGATGTGACAGTCAACTTTTGTAGTTTAGCGTTAAATGTGTAACGTGACAATTAAAAAATAATAAAATTTAATCTTTTAAATTTCCACCTCATTATATTATTAAAACATTAAAAAATAAAACCTAATTTCTCCAAATCTTATTCATGCTCCGTCTCCTATCCATGTGCTCGGCCGCTGTCTCCCTCACTATCATCGATGGCTCACGCGTCATCTACCTACTGTTGTCCCCGCACACAAACAGCTACATCGCGGAGGGACTGGCATTGGATGGATATATGGTTGGTGGGGGAGATGATGTACGAATCCGTCAGCGCGACGATACTTCCTCCAGCAACTATGGTGCCGGGTTGCGATGACTCTGGGTCTCCGGTGGCCTTTTCTGCCGCAACCACCAAACAAGTTGAGCAAAAATGGCGGCACTGGGACCAACATGTAGATCTTAACCTACTTTTGAAGATCCATCTATTCTTTGATCATGGTCGTGCAATCATCTCCCCCACCTACCCATATCTATTGTTAGAACTTTTGGGACGAGGGTGTATGTATGAAAGCTTGAGATAGGGTGACTAGGATTATGATAGAGTTGTGAACAAGGCTCACTTTCCGTAAATAATATTTCCACCCTTCACAAAGCCTTGGGTTACTGGAAATTTCTTCGTAGGATAAAACTATCACCACTTTAGAGACTAGACTTAAGAACAAGGTTAAAAAAGGTGCTAGGCATAAGGCGAGCGTTGAGCCTTTGCCTAGCACCTAGCTCGCTTAGACGTAGACTAAGCGTGCCTAGGCGTTGGAAGAAAAATAGCTATTTGCACAACATGATGAATGAAATAATAATCTACAACACTTTCTCACTTCAGTTAAAATGATTAATAACTTACTCAACACTTAATGTCAAGAACATAGCTCACAAATTCATAGAATCATAGCTCAATGGCTCACAAAGTTCTTAAGCTATTGAAAATATTGATATAGAAAATTGATTTCGTAGTTGATGTTAATTTTCTCCTTTGATATTGACTTCCTAGCTCCATCTAGTATTTCTTAGGAGAGACTTTTATGTCGCCTTACTCCATTGACGTGTTCTAGTATCTAATTAGGCGCAAAACCCCTAGGTGAGGCGCTTTTGCCATTGCCTTGCGCCTAAGCATGCCTAAGCGTAAGATTAAGCGTGCCTTTTTGAACCATGCTTAAGAATAATAAAGCACACTTGGAAATTTATTCAAGGAAGAAGGAGAAATTGAATTCGGTTCTCTACTTCCTTATCCCACATTTGAACCATTCCATTTATAAGGGATGAAGAGGTGCTTTGAAAGGTTGTGATCTTTCAATTATGAGGTAGTTACATTATGCCAAAAATGGGAATTATCTGAAATGTGTCCATGCCAAAGGTTGTGACCTTTTAATCGTCATTTATCTAACCACCATCACCATACGTGGTCATGCATGGCAAAGCCCAATTGCTGGTTTTCAAATTCAATAAAAGGAATGGTTGCATCGTTTGGCCACTAAAAGGACTCAAGCTTTTAATTACAACTTTTCATTTCCATGACTATGAATTTGATTCATCTGGTTTGGTTGATGAAATCCACCAAATCCGAACATTCCTCCCCCATTTTAGTGTATTAAAAAATTCACTAAAATCATAACATTCAACATTCTTCCAATAAAACATAAGTATAAATGAAAATATGGTGACGATTGAATTTTCATCTTAGTATGTTACACTTGACAAATATTCGAATACAAGGGTTTCGGTAACAATTGAAACCATTGATTCAAATGAATATATGAAGATAATATACACTTAAGTTTTACAAACTTCCAAGTGACCTTGACATTATTATCCGCCATGTATTCAATCCTTCTCATAAGCGCACACGAAACTAATGTCCAAGTTTCTTGAAGAGGTTGCACTTCATGCTTACATAGGTTGAATCCTTTATTTGTGTACCTACATAATACACTTTATCAAAAATTCAATTAAGAATTTTTTAAACTTCATCCTCTTCTCTCATGTAGTATAACAAGCACATACCTCTGATAATGATGCATTGTATTAGAGGGGAAATGGGTGTCCCATGATCAGAAACTATATGGACTTTAAACCCATCCCTTTTACATACTTGACTACCAAGTCTCTAGCTAACCCTTTCGTCAATGATCAACTAAATTCTCTTGAGTCCGAACATTACTGTTAAAACACAACTCCATGAGTGATCACTTCACGCATTTTACTATGTCTAAATCCCAAATGGAGAGACTTGCGATTATACAGTTGGCTATATGCCTTAGCAAAAGTAGCGTTACTATCACAAAGGATAGAAATTGGTGAGATTGGTTTCGGCCATAAAGGGATGTCATAAACCAAGTCTCTCAACCATTCTACCTCTCCTCTGGCAAAAGCCAAGGCTATAAATTCGGACTCCATAGTGGAACTCGTGATGCAAGTTTGCTTTTTAGAAGCCCAAGAGGTGACACCTCCCCCAAGCAAGAATACCCATCCTAACATTTGAAGTATGATCTTGAACATCAGAAATCCAACTAGCATCAGTGTATCCTTCCAAAATAGATGGAAATCCACTATAAGTCAATGGATAATGCATTGTGCCTTTGAGATACACTAGTACACGTCTCACTGCATGCCAATGATGAGCACCAGGATTACTCGCATACCGACTTAATTGTCCTACCGCATAAGCGATATCTGGTCTTGTACAAGTCATTCCATACATCAAGCACCCAATAACCTTGAAGTATTGATTGGTACCAAGGATAATCATGTCATCTACATACAAACGTATGATGACTCCATTAGCAGAATCATCAAATTTTGCATATACACATTTGTCAGCTTGGTTTAACTTAAAACCAGTAGACTTCACAAAACAACATAATCAAACTTCTAATGCCATCGTTTTGGGGATTTTTAAGCCCAAACAAAGATTTGATCAATTTGCACACCTCGTGCTCTTGACCAAGCACAACAAATCCTTCGGATTGTTTCATGTAAATCTCTTCATCCAAATCTCCAGTCAAGAATGTTGTCTTGAAATCCATTTGATTGATAATTAGATTGTGAATTGACGTTAGAGCAATCAACAATCTAATAGTGGAGATTCAAGCTATAGACGCACAAGTATCAAAGTAATCAATCTCGGGTTTTGTCTAAAACCTTGGATTACCAAATGCGTCTTAAACTTCCCGATGGTCCATCGACTTTTCTTTTCCTTTTTGAAGATCCATTTACTAACCAAACGTTTCCATCCAGGTGGTAAATTTGGACCCATGATGTAATCTTTTTCATCATTAATGGCTTCCTTTCAAAAAGCAGCGTCACGAGACTTCATAGCCTCATCAAACGTTTTAGGATCATCCTCAGTATTATATAAATATAAATATTGAGAGTATACTTCCTCTCTTGACCCTTACACAAGATACATGTGAAATTATGGTCAGAAAGATTTTGCAATCTTTCTTCTTTTACTTTGACGAATAATGGGTAAATTCGATTCGAAGTATCTTCATCAATCCCCTCATTAACATGAGGGACTATGTCCTTTGGTCATCTCATTGATGAAAATTGATTTTCATCGAAGATGGCGTCTCTTGACTCAATTATAGAATGAATTGAGTAAGCATCATTTTGTTCTATAACATATAACCGATGTGCCTTAGAATTTTTGGCATATCCTACAAAGATGCAATCAATACCTCTTTCTCCTAACGTCTTCCTTTTAGGATTTGTTAGTCGCACGCCTGCCCGACAACCCCAAACTCGAAGATAATTCAAATTTGGCTTTTGTTTTTGCCGTAGTTCATAGGGGGTAGTAACATTCCTTTTATTGGGAACCCTATTTAATAAATAGCAAGCCAATAGCATGGCTTTCCCCCAAAACTATTACTCAAACCGGAGTAAGAAAGCATGGAATTGCCTATTTTCTTTAGAGAATGAATTTCCTCTCCGCTATCCCATTTGTTGAGGGGTAAACAGTGCAGAGGTTTCATCTATGATCCCCGTACTTTTGAAGTAAGTCGGATCATAGTATTCACCACCTCGATCCGTATGAAAAGTTTTAATCTTTGCTTCTTGTTGTAACTCCACTTCATTTATATATATATATATATATATATATATATATATACATACTAAGGGATTCATCTTTAGTTTGAAACAAGTACACATAGAAAAACCTCGAATAGTCATCAATAAAGGTGATGCCATATTTCTTCCCTTCTAAAGTAGTAGTGTTATGTAAATCATACATATCACTATGTACAAGTCCAAGCACCTTGGACTCTCTTTGTACATTTTTAAACGGTTTTCTAGTGATTTTTGTCAATATACAAGTTTTACACTTATCATGTTGAGCATCAAAAGAAGGGAGAAGTCCTTCTTTAGACATTGTAATCATTCTCATAAAATTTACATGTTCCAACCGTGCACGCCATAAAGACGAATCAATAAGGGTAGTCATGTAAGCGAAAACAATATTATTAATTTTATAAATAATATTCAATATAAACATACCATTATTATAATAACAAAATCTGACGAACACTCCGGATTTAGATAATATATATCTATCAGAGTCTTAAACTTAAGAACAACCAAGTTTATTTAGTACGCTTCTAAAAATCAAATTTTTTCTAAGCTTAGGTACATGTGACACATCCCTAAGTACAAGAGTCTTTACGAAAGTAAATTCCAACTCCACGGTGCCGCGTCCTTCAACTGGAGCAGTTGACTCATTGCCCATATGGAGAACACAACCGTCTTCACTAGTTTTTAAGTTTTGAAACAATTACGATCCTTGCTTACATGTATTTCGGCTCTAGAGTACACCCACCAAGCAACATCATCATCATGTACAAAATATGCTTAATTAATTAGTGAAACATAATTCATACTCGAATTTGGACAAATTCAAAATAAAAAATGGAAATACGACTTTGTGGGCCTTGATCGTTAGATCCTTGCCCAACCTGATAATTGCCACTATTCTTTGATTTTTCGACGAGACAATCACACTTGAAATGCCCCATTTTCCCCCAATTCTAACAAGTAGGTTTAGCCTTCTTGTTTTTGTCGACCTTAGATGAGTTGTAGCCCTTGTCACGAGAACGTTTTTTCCCCTTCTTCTGGGAAGAAGACTCTCCAATCTCCATCATGCGAACCGATGCAGATTCCTTTGGCTTCACACCTTTTTTCACCCTGAGTTGAGTTAAATCCAACTCTTCCTTCTTGTGTTTAAGCATATGCTTGAAGTTTTTCCAAGAAGATGGTAATTTCTCGATTATGCTCGACACAGTGATCACCTCATCCATGTTTAGATTGTGTTGAGTAAACTGACCATAGATTCGGAGCAATTCGTTATATTTCTCCATCACTGGGTGAGAATCGCTCATCTTGTAAGTGTTGAAATTACTTACAAGAAACTTCTAGGTTGATGCATCATCATCCAAATACTTTGCCTCTAATGCATCCCAAAGCTCAGAGGCATTGTCATACATTTCGTAAATGTCAAATAGGGGGTTTGAAAACCATAGAGTATGTGTCCTACACAAAGGTAGTTGTCATTTTGCCACTTTCTTCATTTTACGAAGTCGTCTCTTCATTTCCTCATTGTTGGCCCCTTCCTCCAAGTTACCTTCCAAACATGGGGTACTAATCACATACCCCCCCCCCCCCCCTTGAAAGTTGTAAAAAGAAAACACATGTTCTTTTACCATCGAAAGAAATGTTCCCCATCAAATTTCTCAATTTTTCCATGAAGAGATGGTTCCTTGTAAGGAGAAGTGTGAGCTATCGTACAAGATAAATATTCTTTACGATTGTTAGAAATTTTTCAACTAGGGTGTATGTACAAAAGCCCGAGACTGGGTGACTAAGTATTGATAGAGTCGTGAACAAAGTTCACTTTCCGTAAAGAATATTTTCACCCTTCACAAAGCCTTGGGTTATAGGAAATTTCTTCGCAGGATAAAACTATCACCACTTTATATCTAGACTTAAGAATAATAAAGCACACTTGGAAACTTGTTCAAGGAAGAAGGAGAAAATGAATTTGGTTCTCTACTACCTTATCCCAAATCCAAAACATTCCATTTATAAGGGATGAAGGGTGCTTTGAAAGTGTTGGGTGTGGTATGAACCCGCCTAATACGAAAAATGACTACTAATGGACCCAATCCCACCACATGCCCACTCAAGGAGGCCCAAACCCTACATAAGGAGGCCAAACCCTCCGAGCCAAGGATCCTCTCATTCTCTTCCTTAGTTTCCCTAAAGGTCTCTCTCTACTCTATCTCTCTAGACACCATATACTTTCTCTATATCGTACTAACTTGGACATTGAAGCGTAAATCCTCAGGGCCGCCCCCTCCTCAGAGATTCCTTTCCTCTCGAAGAGATCGAGCGAGGGAGTCTAGATCAGAGCTCCATAATTACTATATTAACCTTGGGGACTTTCCCGGGTCAAACAATTGGCGCCCACCATGGGGCTTTGTTTCTGGTATTCTTTCATTAGATTTATGAGGGAGGAGAAAAGGGGTTCTTCCTCGACCAATTATTAATAACCATAGCAACTGCCACATGCTTCAGAGATCCTCCTGAACTCTCAACAAAAGGGGAAAATGGATCGGTGACAACAAAAGAGGGACCAAGAAAGACAAGTCGAAAAGGAGACCCAACGCCTGAAAAGAGAAAGGAAAGCAACGACTGGAAAAAAATAGCAACGAGGATCCAAAATCATAATTCGACAACAACAAAGAATAAATGAGTACAACCCAGATAGAACCTCCGGACAAAAGTACCAAAGAAATTCATGGGAACTCCCTCTATATCTCGGCCAACAATCACGAAGAAAAAGAAGAAAAAAAGCGGATCCTACTATGGTCAATCAGCTACAATTCATCTTTTCCAGTGAATCCCACCATTGTCACCAGTTGCCGGCAGCTACTCGTCTTCGTCGACCTCAACCTCACTGACTCGCCATAGATACACCGCATTTTAAATTCCAACTAGAGCTCAAGCATAAACTCTAGCCGGGTGCAATACAGGGCAAGTATGTTTAAATATCGACCAGGGTCGGTCCATGTACCCCCTACTTCAATCGCTTAGTTTGTTATCTATCAAACAATTTTGGGTTTAAAACTAAGAAAACTACAAATGAAAACAAGTAAGTAAAGTAAATCGAGGCTATCCCAATGAGAGAAGAGCTCACCTGGGTGTTGCTCCCCCTAGCTAGCAATTACGATTTATGGATTGAATGGGCGTGTGTTGTGAGGGGGTTGTAAACTGTAGGGAAGTGTAACAAGTAGCCAATGCCACTCTCTCAGTCTCTAGGTCGAGGGAAGGGGGATAGATCCAAGCCACCAACGTGACTCTCTCGACCTAATGAATAAGTATTGGTTAGACTTCACCCTCGAATCGGAGTTCAGACGACCACCCACAACCAAACCCTAGGAGCTAATACGAAATAGGAGGTTTGCCCTGCATTAACCTAACTTGGAGACAATGAATTGTCTAAGAAAACCCAACATTAATGCCTCTTTCAAAGAAAGATAAGGGGTTTTCTCTCTACCTAAGTTAGAATGGCAATTAGATTGATAGACTTTCACACAACACAATCATTCATGAATAATACCTCCACATTCACATTAAACACAACCACACACAAATCATTCAATCCATACAATCTATCACATATTCAAAGCTAGGGTTCACAACACACAAGTGAATAGGTAGGCTATTTCATAACTAGGCAAAGGAAAACAAGAAAAAGGAGAGAAATAACCATGAAGAGATGACAATCTTGTAACGACCTGATCTTTTTCGAAAACCAAACCATAACTCAAACCAAAAACCGGTTACTCCGGAGCAACCCAAAACCACATTTTAAAAATACACAAACTGACATTATTTAAGAATTTTAAACAAAAAGCCCCAACACTTGGGCAAAATCTCAATCTCAAACACATAAAATAACTTAACACAGAATCTTGAACCTTGAATCTCCAGTACATAAACTCATAATCATGAATAAAATAATTAAACTAAATCTAGCTCTAACTCCTTGTTGTTTTCCCCGAGGTCTCGTCCATGCTGGTGCGACAGCTTGCCTCGCCCTCCCTCTTCTCGGGATCCACCTCCGCTAACCCCTCCTTAACCTGATGTGTGAGAAGGGGTCAGTCTCGTTGTTACTTCCTAAGGTCTTGCCCTAAGCAACCTCCTTACTAAAATACGTTATTACCGTTTCCTTTCCTTAGATGAAAGTCGTTCTCACTTTCATCCTTAATAACTCATTTCAACACCACTAATAGAAGATCTTTACTCCTATCTTATCTTATAGAAGGTCTCAACTTCTATCCTTAATATTTTAGTCCTCGATAGCTTATAGGAGTTTTGTACTTCTATCTTAATTCACATACTTATTACTAGGGAATCACCGCGTTACGTATCGCTGTCCGATGTCCCTATCCTCAAGGAAATGGTACTACGTTACATATCATCGTCCAGTCCATGCTCGGTCAACTACTGCGTTATGTATCGTCGTCCAGTAGTGACCCGACCATCTACCGCGTCCAGTAGTGGCCCAACCGCCAGGGGTTTATCTTACATACAAACATACATCACATACATAGCACAACGCGTGCCTCCACCTTAAGTAGGCGGTGGGATGCCTCACACACATAATTGCGCTTACTTGAAAATAACAAACATAACTGAATTAAAAGAAATAAACTAGAAGATCTCGACAGAGATTTTACCCCCTTTAAACTCACCTCGAAATCTTCGAAACCAACTCTGATTCTTCTCTAAAATTTCCATGACTCGCTCCCATTAAATCCTCCTTGTTCCCATGATTCCATAGGCACTGACGGTTCCTCAATCGGACGTCAATTGACCGAGTTATGACCAAACAAACATTTTGTCAGTTTAAAAGTACCAGGTGCCGAATTGTAATTTTCCAGTCAACACAGTTGACCACGACCTATCTGGAAAAATTACAGATTTAATCCTCTAACTTATTGAATTTCCAAGAATGGTACCTGAACTATCCGATTTGCATCCCAAACTTTCGAGACTCGTATCTCCCTTGTTCAACATCGAAATTCGATTCCGACGAGACTGGGATGCTCCTGAGATTGTCATCTTCGTAACGGTACCCACCACTCGAACAATGGTTGAAGTTTGTATTTCTGTTCCTTCCTCCTTGCTTGAATCTCCCTTGAGAGGTAAGAATCTTAACTCCTCTAGCTAAGGGCAAGCCCAATCTCCTTCTTCCTCCTTTGAATGACACTTTCTCTCTCTAGAATAGGAAAAGGAAACACTAATATCTCACTAGAAACCCCTCTTTATTCTAAAAACTAAAATCTTAGAAAAAACTCCGCTTTCTCTCCCATCATCCTTCTATTTATACAGCCCGACAGTCACTCTTCACGGTCGGATGTCACGACACATTGGAGCCCTGACCTTGACATTGGACCAAAATGCAGCGTTTTGCCTGAGTTTTGGTCCCACTTCATGATCAACGGCTGATTTTCACGGTCAACAGATCGTGAACACACCTGGTCTAGTGAGAGTGAAAATAGCCCTGGAACTTGTCAATGTCACACCCAAAGAGCAATTGTCACGATCTTATAACCGTGACATTGGACCTCTGCCCGTGACCTTGGCTTCTCAAGCCCAGTGATCAATTGTCAAGGTCTATTGACCTTGACATATGACCTCTGCCCGTGAAATTGGATTGTTCTTCACTTTACTCCTCTTTTTGGCGCTTTATCGACCCAAATTGTCTCAAAACTCGTCCTCGACCTACCCACACACACTAGGACCTGAAATGTATTAAAAATAGCAAAACCTAGCGTGAAATTTGTTGAGGAACGATGAAATTCACATGCAAACTATCAAGAAATGAGGGGTAAAATATGTGCAATTAGCCCCGAATCACTCCTCCTCTTATTTGTGGATCTGCGGTGGAGCCGTAGTCACAATAATCGACAACAACTAAAACGAAAAAGATTATCTCAACAAAGAAACGAGAACAAAGAAAAAAAATTGAGCCTACTCTCTTCTTGGAGCTCGTCGGAGAGAGGGAGCCATTCTTCTGAGATGCCGCAACGCCCAATCGACTAGAAATAATAAATTGGCTAAAAGAGAAAATCTTCATGGTTCATCGCCACCTAAGTTACGCTCGTCTTCGGAGCATAGACGGAAGGTCAACATCATCAGGTATCCTCCACTACTCATCTACAGTAGCCAGACCCACAAACCAGGGGTACCTGTTACGTCTCTCATAGTGGTTGATAGCTACATTCACTCTATAAAAAGAAACTGACAAGCAGAGTTTTCGAGGTCGGCGGGTTGGACAAAAGGAATGAAGGGTTGAAGGCGTAGACCAGAGAAGGTAATCGCCCTGGATTTGTAACTTAAACTCACCCGTTGCAAGTGCTTTGCAACTTACAAGTGAAACCGGAACGCTTCCAATGAAGATGAAGAGGAGGTAGAGCTAGCTAGCTCTTGGCGGCTGATCTATTAAAGAAAATAAAAAAGTTATGGGAGAAGAAACAGAATGCCTGCAAAGGAACACACAAGGAAAGAGATCGTACATTAAAAGAGATGCCGCAAACACTAAACTCTCAAGGGAGAAGATGAGAAGTAAAAAAGAAAAGTCTGCCTCCTATTAGTGCCAAACCGCATCAGGCCTTGCGCGGCGTTCAAAGCATGCTACTCATCACATTAGCTTTTATTGGCTCGCAAAATCTTGCACGCCCAATCTCGGACGTTGGGCCCAGCTACACTTTTCATCTGAACTCAGAAATGTCGCACGTCTAGCATGCCACGTCTCATCAAAGCTTAACCTAGCTCCGACTAGCCGATTATCACCATCAGAAACGCTACAGCTTGTCAAATGACGTCCATAACGCGGGCACTTCTCTACCAAACAAGACCCAGATGTGGCCCACCTTTCATTCTTGTCCGTCCATCCTGCCTATGACGACCCAATCTGCAGAATGTAGATGCCTTCAATTGCAAAAAGAATGAGAAAATAACATATACCAGCCTTTGAAACAACATTTAACTGTTCATGTTCATGAGTTCATCCAGTAAATTGAAGCAATTACTTGTGCAACAATCGTGACCATCTCTACTTGAGAGCTTCAAAGCTAATCCCTTCAATAAAAGCCCACATTCATTGGGCCCGTAGATCAATCTTCACCATAGAGAACTACACGCCCACAACATTTGCCTCCAACTTCGAACACACTTTTTATGCGCTTTAGTTCAAGGACTTAGACGCTCTCGTCCTAACCGCTAGCCCATGACCCTTACAAAGCCCACCTCCAACGGCCCATCCATAAGCGGTCCGCCTCCAAATGATATGCTCCAACAAGCCGCCTCGCAAGAACCTAAGCCATCATTGGAACGCCTTACAATTTGGGTGAGCCTCTAGTATCTAATTTCTAGATAAAGACTGCACACACTCGGCCCGACTCACATCTGAATTCAATGCATGGACCGCCCCACGTGCAACCTGCTCCACCAAACGCGGTCTCACCTACAATCATGACCCTCCTCGCCCACGAACCCCACGCAGAAGTCCTTTGCGCGCTCCGAACATATGAATAGTGAATTCATTTTCAAAAAAGAATTGGAACATGCCTTCGCCGAGCTTTGAAACTACATTCTTTTTCACACAAACAAAGACGGTTACCATTATACTACAAGGCCATCTTGGTTACCACTGGGCGCCCACAACAATAGAATCGCATTTGTCTTCCATCATTTGTACAAAGAAGCAAAGAAGTCATTTCGAATGCGGCCCGCCTCGCATAACCTTCATCACCCTTTCTGCAAAGCATCGGGTCCAGTCGTCTAGACTCTCCATTAAGCTCGTTCGCATAAACTTCTCCAAGTTGATAACATGGACCGCCTCCATCTGGCCCGTTCTGCAACAATCCTTGTAGTACAAAAAAGAAAGGCCTATACTAGGATTTGAACACAAGCTCTACTCAACAAGAACAAGGGTCCTCACCAATAGGCTACCATGCTGTATTGTGTGTCTACTGTGAACGCTCAGAATTTAACACTTGCTTTTCCTCCAAAAAATCACGAAGCTAAGTATTTTCTACCAAACGCGGTCTCACCTACAATCATGACCCGCCTCGCCCACGAACCCCACGCAGAAGTCCTTTGCGTGCTCCGAACATATGAATAGTGAATTCATTTTCAAAAAAGAATTGGAACATGCCTTCGCCGAGCTTTGAAACTACATTCTTTTTCATACAAACAAAGACGGTTACCATTATACTACAAGGCCATCTTGGTTACCACTGGGCGCCCACAACAATAGAATCGCATTTGTCTTCCATCATTTGTACAAAGAAGCAAAGAAGTCATTTCGAATGCGGCCCGCCTCGCATAACCTTCATCACCCTTTCTGCAAAGCATCGGGTCCAGTCGTCTAGACTCTCCATTAAGCTCGTTCGCATAAACTTCTCCAAGTTGATAACATGGACCGCCTCCATCTGGCTCGTTCTGCAACAATCCTTGTATTACAAAAAAGAAAGGCCTATACTAGGATTTGAACACAAGCTCTACTCAACAAGAACAAGGGTCCTCACCAATAGGCTACCATGCTGTATTGTGTGTCTACTGTGAACGCTCAGAATTTAACACTTGCTTTTCCTCCAAAAAATCACGAAGCTAAGTATTTTCTACAAAATATATCTCAAATGCAATGTTTTGATACAAAGCGGTTCATTACTATTATGCTAGGCTCTATCCGCAACATGCTATGTTATATTTATGCTTTTAATATATTGGGAACTAGCAACTTGCGTCTTTCCTGGATACTCGAACACTCACGGCTCCGGCCTCCGGGCTAGGTTTGCATACTCCCGCCTCCGAGCGATGCTCCCTCCAGAAAATGTTTCCCGCCTTAGAGCGATGCTCCTTCCGGGGAATGCTTCCCGCCTTCGAGCGATACTCCCTATGGGGAATGCTTCTCCCCTCCGAGCGATACTCCCTCTTGGGAATGCTGCCCGCCTCCGAGCGATGCACCCTCATTTGAATGCATCCCGCTTCTGAGTGATGCTCCCTCCGAGGAACGATTCATGCCTTCTGCCTTTGGGAAAGGCTCGAAAACCGCCACTGAGCGATGCTCCCTCCGTGAACGATTCATGCGTTCCGCCTCTGGGCAAGGCTTGAAGAGGAACACATATCGCCTCCGGACGTTGCTCAAATACATATCTTTAGCCTCCGCGTTAGGCTTGAAGACCCACACCTCCCAGCAGGCTAGAAGACGGAGCGCCCCCATGAGGTTGGAAGACGGAGAACCTCCCAACCGGAAAAAGATGAATATGGAGCACCTCTCATGAGGCTAGAGACGGAGTGCCTCCCATAAGACTGGATGACGGAGCACCTTCAGTATAAAAACACGATGAAACGTCTCCCAAGAACAAAACAGAGAGTATCTCAGCATGCTAGAAGAAGAAGCGCCTCTCATTAGGCTAGAGACGGAGTGCCTCCCATCAAGCTGGAAGGCAGAGTGCCTCCCACAAGATGAAAAACAAGCGCTTCTCAGAATCCGAAGACTAAAGCGCTTCCCAGAAAGCCAAAATACTTAAGCTCTTCTCAGAAGCCGAAGACTAAAACACTTCCTAGAAAGACAAAATACTTAAGTCCCATGAAGTCAAAAGACTAATGCTCTTCCCAGAAAATAGCCGAAGACTAAAGCGCTTCCCATGATGCCGAAAGACTAACGCGCTTTTTAGAAGTCTAAAGACTAACACGCTTCTCATAAGTCGAAAGACTAAAGCGCTTTCCAGGAAACCGAAGACAAACATACTTCTTAGAAATAGAAAGACTAAGAGCGCTCCTGTGAAGAAGAAAGACCAGACTTCTCGGTAAGCTAAAAGACGGAACGCTGCTAGGTAGGTTATAAGAAAAACACCTCCCAGCAGGCAAAAAGACGGAACACCCCCAGTAGTCTAGAGGACGGAATGCCTCCTAGTAGGGGCAACATCGGCAAGAAGGAAAAACTTGATCCAGCATCACACAGGCATGGCATTGGCAAGATACATGAACTCCCGACACACATTGACGCGACATTGGTGGGACACAAGAGCGTTTTAAGTTAAATCTCTCAAGGTGTGGGGGCCACCCTACCTAGCATGCAGTTATGGCGTACTAACACTAACAACAATGGACTGGCAAAGAAAATCTTACCAACTTGAGAGCTTTTATTCAAGATATCGAAAGATAAGCAAGTGAGGCAAATTAATACACATTAATGCATTATGTTACTCCTTCCATTCTTACAGAATACAAGAAGCAAAGGGGTAATTGTTGGGTGTGGTATTAACCCGCCTAATACGACAAACGACTACTAATGGGCCCAAGCCCACCACATGGCGTCCTGGACACAAGCCCACTGAAGGAGGCCAAGCCCTCCAAGCCAAGGATCCTCTCATTCCCTTCCTCACTTTCCCTAAAGGTCTCTCTCTGATCTATCTCTCTAGACACCATATAATTTCTCTATATCGTACAAACTTGGGCGTAGGAGCGTAAATCCCGGGGGCCGCCCCCTCCTCTCAGATTCCTTGCCTCCCAAAAAGATCGAACGAGGGAGTCCATATCAGAGCTCCACAGTTACTATATTAACATTGGGGACTTTCCCGGGTCAAACAGAAATGTTGTGACCTTTCAATTATAAGGTAGTTGCATTATGCCAAAAGTTGGCATTATCTGGAATGTGTCCATGCCAAAGGTTGTGACCTTTTAGTTATCATTATCTAACCATCATCACCATACGTGTTCATGCATGGAAAAATACCAATTGGTGGTTTTGAAATTAAATAAAAAGGAATGGTTGCATTGTTTGGCCACTAATTGCCAATTTTCATGCACCGTGGTGATCAAAGTCCAAGTTAAAAGGACTTAAACTTTTAATCAAAACTTTCCATTTCCAGGACCATGAATTTGATTCATCTAGATTGGTTGACCCAATCCATCAAATTCCAACATCTATCACCATTACCCCTTTGTCGAAATAGCAAGCCCTCCTATCGGCGAGCTTCAGCGAGAGAAGGCTTGGACCATCAGGCAAGGGTGAAATAAGAAGAGAAGTTAACATTGCAGTACTGCGTCACCTAGCCAGCACGACAAGCTCCCCAAGGTTGGTCCAGGCCACCACATCCACATGAAGACGTCCTCGCTGCACTAGTAAACTGCCGCCACCGGAAATGGTGGTCGATTTAAGTGGGCAAAGAGGGATGCATGAAACGGTTTGGGTATTTAGTGGAGCCTTGAAAATTAACTTTTATTATTTAATTGTAGTGAAAATGAGCTTTTTTATATCAATAGCTCACTTGGATTAATCAAGGAATTGATATAGAGTGTTCAAACCACACACCTCGCCCAAGAGCGAAAATCAAACCCAAAATACCAGCAGGAAACAAAGACATGGCCTTTTTAGCCACCAAATGGGTCACCCGATTGCGCTCCCTACCAACTAAACACACTCGTAACAAATGAAATTCTCTCTTTAGCTGCAAGATTTCCTCGAAAATTACACCTCGAGCATCATAACACACCTCCCCAACAATCTTGTCAATAACGACCTTGGCATCCCCATGAAACTCCATTGATGAACATCCCTTCAAAGAAATCCACTGCATTGCTTCGCGGAACGCGAGTAATTCCACAAGAAATGGATCAGTCTGACATGCATAAAGAAAGCCCATTGCAAATAAAAGATCTCGCGAGCCATCCAGTACCACTACCCCCGCAGCTCCATGCGAGATCGGGAGCTCCACACATCCACATAACAAACTAAGAGCAAACTAACTTCCCCATCCCCATACCGTCCCACACCCACACCTTAGCCACCTAGCGGCACAGGGACTCAATCATGCCCCTCCCATTTCGCCACCTGCTATTAAATTGAGGTAGCAACACCGACCTCCTGTAATAAAAATTATCAAACACTACTCAATTCTTAGACTTCCAAATACGCCACAATAGTGAAACAACTCACATAATTGCATCCGCTGACCCATCCCGAGCTACTATGGCTTTAAAAAAACAAGCAACGTTCACCTCTGGTAATCCCTCTCGCAAAGCAATCAAACCCGACTCATGCCATAGATCAACTGCAACTGGACAGTGCAAAAATAAATGCTCCATAGATTCCAACTCAGGCCAAAAAATAGGACAACATAGGTTCCAATTGACACCCTTTTCCTGCAGAGTTTCCATCGTCGGTAGAATCTTTCTAAGGAACTTCCACACAAAGAAACACAGCTTCGGCGGGATATCAAAGAGCCAAACCTGCTTCTAGAACACCAAATTAAAACAGGAAACCTCTGACCCCCACCTACCTTGTATGCGACTAATTTCCAAAGCTAGTTTATACCTGACTTAACTGTATAGCTCCCTGATTCCACCTCCTGCCAAATCACCAAGTCCGACAAAGGGGAACAAGGCAAAGGAATCTCTAAAATACGTCGAACAATGTCTAACGGGAAACAAGTTTGCGATCTCTCCTCACACCAGTCACCCGAGGCTCCATCAACTGAACTCTCCACCATTTGGTTCGGAACTACCTGAGCACAAGACAGGAGGGGAAGAGTTTGCCTCTACAAAATGGGAACCCAAACGTCCTCACATATCTAAACATTAGAACCACTCCCCACCTACCGCAATCCCTACACCAGCAAATGCCTATCCTCCAAAATCTCCTGCCACCCCCACGAGGGGCGAGACCTCGACGCGGCACTATAATGTCCGAATGAGGATAGTATTTTCCTTTTAGTACCCTAGCCAGCAGAGAACCTGGCTCCATATGTAGCTGTCAGCCTATCTTAGCCAATAGAACTCAATTCATCAGCTCAAACGTCCTAAACCCAAGACCACCATCATGCTTACTTCGACACAAATTTCGCCAGGACACCCATGTTGTCTTCACCCCATCGGACTACTACCCCACCAAAACGAGCCATATGCCTATCCAGTTTCCTATACAATTCCCGGGGGAGAAGAAAACAAGCCATAGTATATATTGGCAACGCAGAAGCTACTGACTTCAGCAGTGTCTCCTTATAAGCCCAGGACAGGTGATGCTACTTCCACCCTTGCAATCGTGCCAGGAGCCATTCCTCAAGAAACCGAAATGTCTCTATATTTGATCTATGCACCAATGTTGAGAGTCCAAGATATTTATCATAAACACCCACCGACCCTACTCTTAAAATTGATGACATCTGCTATCTATCTTCAACCATAACATTCTTACTGAAACAAACAACACACCTCTCTAAATTCACTTTCTGACCACTTAACAGCTAATACTCTTGCAATACTCCCATCAAAGTCACATATTCTTGAGGTGTCACCTTCAAAAATAGGTATGAGTCATCCACAAAGAACAGATGGGAAATACTTGGGCTCTGTGGACTGACCTTAACCCCTGAAAATCTTCCAGTATCAATAGCTTGTCGCAAAAGGGCCGAGAACCTCTCAGTACAAATACCAAACAATAGTGAGGATAGTGAATCCCCGATTCTGAGACCATGCGTTGCCCGAAAATATCCAGAAGACTTTCTGACTCGCTACGACACAACACCTAACAAAGGCCAAGTGTAACCAATGAAAGGGACTGCAGTATAGTGGCTCAAGTGATAAATATCGAATCCACGGGTCTCTAGAGTTACTATTACTCAGCTTCAGTTTATTATTTAGAAAATCAAATTAAGATGAAAGAACTAAAACTACTCTAGCAAACTACAGTTAAAGTTAATCTAATTACAGGTTGGGAACTCACTTAGGTATGATTCCCCCTAGCCACTAGCCAGATTAACGATTGATGATCTCTAACCTGTTTCACTTTCATTCACAATGCGGAGAATCCTTGACTAGACCTTGAGTCTCGACTAAAGGAACAAGGCCCTCTTGAGTCAATTGCCTAGAGGGACGTATCCTTCTCTAGAACAACTGATCAAGGCGTTCTGAACTAGACTCCCTCTATCGAAAGGGGTTCTCAATCGATACAAAGCAGTGAATCAACCCTCGACTAAAGCAATCGATCCACTACTATCAATCTATGGTGCTCTATTGACCTAATCAGGTATTCCCTCTCATAGAATCAAAGCAGAATCAATAATCTCGACTAAAGCAGAATTGAATCATGAAAACATGCATAGATTGAATATGAACTCAAGATTATCCAGTCAGAGTACTCATACAATCATCCAATCAAACAAACATAGCTAGGGTTCCTCAAAACCTAAGTGAAGGGAAGTTACTCCATAGAGAAGAGAGAGACTGCAGTAAGAATCTTCAGATGATCAGTCTTCAAGTCCGGGCTTGTTCCTCGAGCTTCCAAGGCGAAGAAATCCTCCAACTCCACTCCAAGAATGCCCTCAAATCGCTCTCTCTCTCTTTGGTTCGTCCCTTGGGTGTTTGGGATCCAAAAACCCAGCTCTCCTCTTCTTTGGTTCGGAATTTGGCTTAAAACCAGGAAATCCCGACTCACACGGGCAGGGTGGCACGGCCGTGTGGCCTACCCAGTTGCCCGTGTGAGGCAAAACGCACCGTATCACTTAGTCGAATTCCAGGCTTCTTACACGGCCAGGGTGGCACGGCCGTGTGTGACTTCCTTCTGCCCGTGTCTGCTCTCGGCGAATGTGGCACGGCCAACCCGGCCACTTGCACGGCCGTGTCAATCTGCTGCTCTGCCCGTGTCTGCTCTCGCAGAATGTCACACGGCCAGACTGGCCTCTCGCACGGCCGTGTGAACATCAGGATAGCCCGTGTGACCTCCTTTGCGACTTGTCTCGCGCCCGATCTTCGCCCAATCGACCCCGAACTCGCTCCTAAACCTTCATTCACCTGCCAGGACCTGAAATATCACAAACAAGCACAACCTAGCGTGAAATCGGTCTAAAACACGAGAAACCACATCTCAAACGGTGTAAGAACAGGGGTGAAAACATGTGTAACTAACGGTCTATCAAACTCCCCCACACTTAACCGTTTGCTTGTCCCCAAGCAAACCTAACTCAAACCCATGCAACTCTCCAGACCTCTTTAGCAACAAACAACCCAGATCGTAGGTAGAGGACTTCCTAGATCATTTAGCAACTTACGAGGTCAACCGACGCACAAGTCATCTCATAACTTCTTCGGCGAGTCGGCATCATGGCAAATAGTGAATAGAGGACAAATGAATTGTGGATGAAGAGATTCTCAAAAACAACAGATCATGGACTCACATTTTTCAAGGTGCTCTATTTTCTGCTTAAGGATGGTTGGAACCCCTTTTCTTTCTATTTTTCTTGTTTTCTGTTATTTTTCTTTTCTTTTCTTTTCAAGGGTCCCAACCTGCTCTTACCGGCCATGCCAGGAGCGGATGTCTCGAGCCTCGTGCGGGGGAAAGACATGTAAGGGGGCTGGAGGTAGTAGGTGGAAATTGGGAACGGATTCCCGTCTCCCCTTACACACTTTCGCCCTATTCGCACGGGAGACGTTATTTTGAAGCACATTTTCGAGCACCTGTTAAACTCAAAACATGATACAAGAGTCCATGACAGGTAGAGAATCCACAACACCACACAATTCAAGGGTCCTAAGATCACTAATTCACTCAATCAACCAACTCAATATGAAGAAGAAATGAGACTCCTTAAATGCATCAACATCCTCCATAGTGCTACACTACCTCCCTAGGTTGCATATTACTATAAAGACTGTCAATTCAAAGCATACTGAGCAGGCAATTGCAAGGAAACACGTACTTGGAGCCCTCAAATTTAAAAATTTGGACAGTGGACTAGGCTCAAAGCACACAAACAGCCAAACATTCACCCGCATAAATAATCGAACATCCCCCCACACTTAAGCACGACATTGT